CGGCGGCGGAGGCGCGCAGCCGAGCGTGCCACTGCAGCCCGTCCCCTGAGCCTGTCATTTGTGGCGATGCTCTCCAACGCCTCGATGGGGTGGCAGCTCGGTGGCATCGGGGCAGTGGGGCCTGTCTGTTGAACCCCTCCACCCCCCACCAAATCACTTGTGCCGGGGGAGAGCGTGAGGACCCGTTCCCTGAGGACGCGGGGCGGCCGGCAGGGAGGGACACCCAGCAGCGGTGCCCGGGGCCGGGTGCACGGTGCTGCGTAGGGGCGGAGAAAGCCTTTATGGTCCTCCAGCCGTCGATGTCTGCAGCGCGTGAGCCTGGCCCCACATGAACGAGTGAACTTCAGCCAGTTTGGGGCAAAGCATTTGCCACGCTGAGTCCAACCTTGACTCATTGCACGAAGAAGTGGCCCAGGGACCTTATCTATTGCCCTTGGAGGACCAGAGCTCTGCAACCAGAAGGACCTTAGGTAGGAAAGGCCAGTGTTTTCCCCCAGTTGCTCCCCTCTGCCGTCAGCCCCTCTTACCTCTGGAGCGAGAGGATGCTGCCCACGTTGCGGTACAGTACAGTCCCCACCACAAAGACGGAGGAATCGTCTGTCGCTGCAGGGCACCGGAGGAAAGGGAAAAAGACAACAGTGCTGAGACAGTGCGGATGTTTGCGCTGGGTGCTGTCCCCAGATGACCCCTTCTTCCCCCGTAAACGCACACCAGGAGAGCGCACAGAGCGTGGCATAGGAAGGACAGATCTGGTAGGGACGATTCTGGCCACTGCTGGGTTCAGACCTCTTTTTCCTCCTCCCCTTGCTCTGTACCAAGGAGAAGCATTTCCCAGGTGCAGGATTAGACCTAGCATGGGGGTCTATGCTGGGGCATGGCCGATGCTGGTGTTACCATGATGGAAGGCACTGCCTGCTGTCACCCTGTTGGGTTTCCATTGGTCCCGGGCTGCGTTGACTGCGCTGACCTGTCCCTGGGGAGGGCTCAGCACCTTTGAGGTGACCCAGCACCCATATGTGTGCCCTCGTACAAGGTTTATGCAACCCCAATGACCCGCCTGGTGCTCTCCTCTTCAGTAATCCAGCTAATCCCTTTGACAGAGCCACAGCAGGCAAATCTACAGGGTGGGAAGGTCTCTTGCACCCACCCAGAGGCATCTGGACCCACCCGCAGCTATCGAGCCATCAGAGTGAAGAGCTGCGCTCAGGCCGACAAGGGCAGCCAAGAAGGAGAGGTTTCGCCTGGCGCCTGGGCTGACCCGTGACTCCACGCGCTGCCCTCACCGCAATGGCCCGCTGTTGGCAGCACTGGGCACACGGGCTATGCAGAGGGGCCGCGCTCACCGCCAGGGCTCCCTGACATGGCCCTGGGGGACCCTAATGCTACATGACGCCACGTATGTGGAGCACAAGGGCTGGGAGGCCACGGGCGCTATGGTCCCAGATGAGCCTCTGAATCATTTCTGTGACCTCTGGGCAAGTCGCTTGACCTCCTCTTCTGCCTCACGCAAAAAGAAAGAACTTCCCTGGGACAAAAACAGAGGCAGCAGAGGCAATCCTTCAGCCAAATATCCCCCCCTTCAGGGGAATGAAAAACGAGCCACATCATGCAGACTGGAGCTGAGCAAGTCTGGGGAGGCGTCTTGCTGTGGGGCTTTCCGATGTCTAACACTGAGATTGAACTAAGAGTGCATCTGCCCCCTCAATACGGAGCCGATGCAAATTGGCATGCCTTTTTTTCCATTTTTGAGACTTACCTCTTCATCAAATTGGGCTAAAGTGAGATAGCAGGGTAAATAGTTACTGGCAGAGCCTGACAGTTAGGCTTGCAGAGCAATTGCAAAAGCCTTGCTTTCTTAGGAAAGCCGGCACAGTCTTTTGGCCTTTCTTGCGAATCCCTATGCAAACAAGGATCCTACTGCCTTCAAAGGCAGTTTCCCTCCATTGCGCTGAGAAAATACGGTCGGGCATTGGCAAAAGCGTTGTGCGCTCCTACGAGATCATGAGCAAGCAAATCCCTAAGCCCCGCAGCCTTATCACAGCACCTCCCAAAGAAGGCAAAAAGGATCCTGCCTGTAATAGAGCTGGAGGTTTGTTTCTTTTGGTCCGGGACAGATTTTTTTTTTTAGCTGCCCTTCAGTCCTGCTATACTATAGTGAACTACTCTGATGTGTTACCCAGCTGGAACAACGTTGCATTTTGATCATGTAGTATCTCCCTAGCGATGCTCACTCACCAGCAGCGTTTGCACAGCCTGCTGCCCAAGGGGCATGACAGCCAACTATATAAATCACTGCTGGCCTGCTGAAATCAGCTGTGCAAAGTTAACGCCCCAGCAGTGAGTGGTCTGTCCTCAGTCTCACCAAGCTGCCTGTCCCCATAACTCTACTTGGGATAACTGCTCCTGTTCCCTGCAGCCAAGGAAAGGTGAGGATAAAAAAGAAAAAAAAAAAAAAAAAGGAGATGCTATTATTCAAGGGAGCAATCCATCAAAAAAGACCGCTAGCACAGGACGCTGAACAAGGCAGAGGCAGTACAGCTCTGGGTTAACAGGATGCCAAGGAGAGGTGAGGACTGATGGGAAGTTAGTTCTTCAGAGCAGATGTCACTTTTTGTTTGCACAGTGCCTACCACTCTGGGGCCCTACAGCAGCTCTGTGTAATGATACTTGTAATAGAAATTTGGAAAATAGCCCTGCGGGGAGGTAGATGAGGCCTCCTAGGGCCACACACAGCCCCAGAGCAGGATCCACTCTGCCTGTGTGCAATTCCAGAAGTTTGTCCAAGAGTTCATTAAAAGTTTCCAAAGGTGAATGCGCCACGACCTCCCCAAACCATCTGTAATAACCCTCCCTATATGCCCTAACTTCTTCCAAGAAGATAATACTGTCCTCAAGGCACAACAAAACACAGTGCTGGACTCATCCTTGCTCTGCCAGTCACTCAGTGTTCACCCTTGGGGGAAACACTTAACTGTTCTTGGACACAGATTCCCCAAGTAGACATGATGGCAGTGTTGTTTCCCTCCTCAGCAGGCAAATTTGGTACAAGAGGTCCTGGTTTGACAAGAAGAGGCCAAAGGACTTTCAACAGCAACAACTGACAGACTCCTGCCTAGGTGCCAGCGAAGAACAGCGCAGTCTGAGGCAGCAGGAGCAAGCAGCCTGCTCTCTCAAAGCTGTTAGTGCCACACAAAGCACTGGGTCATGTGCAAGAACAGCCTGCTGCTATTTCCTACTGATAAGCCCAGCTTGGAGTTCCACTTTTGAAAAAAACAGGGCTCAATCCTGCCATATGCTGAGATTTCCTACCAGGAGGTGCTTAGCACCACAAGGTCCTGGCACAGGTGGGTGCCCCTTCCAGAAAGACTCCTACACCAAATGCCTGGCAGGTGCTACAGCGGGAACCATCCTTTCCTGGGCACGCCAGGAGAGCAGCCCAGAGCTCTGGAGTCCTTGAGGAACTGTACAGCGTTGCTTGTCCACATGGTCATGACAACAGGAGGCCAAATCATCCCCCTGCTCCACCCCTGTGTATTTGAACCTGCTTTCCTTGTGCCGGTTAACCATGCCTATAAGGCACCAGCAGACTACTCCTCTCTCATCCTAGGGGAAATCCACCATATTCAGGAAGGCATGAAAGAGACATTTCAGCAGCCAGTATGCCCTGCAGAGGATTGTAGACTTAGCCCAGTATCCATATGCATCAATAACAGAGTGGCTCAGCATACACTGGGGCGTTTTCACGTCATCCAGGTTCAGTAGCCTTGGAAGAAGCAGTCATCAGTTCAGTGTTGCTCTGAGCTTTTGTGCTGATTCCTCCTCTTTTCTAAATATGCTACTGATTTAGGAGAAGACCTGCATCCAGATCCAGAAACTGTGCCTGCCCCTGAGTTTTTGCAGAGATTTCAGACATGACTCTTGGTCAGGCCACATCAAAAGCTTTATTTTCACTCAGCAATGCTGCTGGTGATCAAGCTTTTGTGAGCAAATCCAGCTCAGCTGGAAGGAAAATTTGGATGCCAGCCAAACAGAAGCAAACTCTCTTAGAAAGTGAAGAAGAAGTCTTCTTCTGGAATGCTCTGGCTGTGCTGCCTACCTGTAAGCCCCGAAGAGAGGATGCTCTTGGATACCGTGACCTTGTCCTCCGAGTTCTTGGCCCAGTCCACCATGCCCCTCCAGCCTTTCATGGGGAAGGTGATGTCAGTCGCTGCATGAGCAGGCAGTTTGTGAATGCTGAGGACTAGAAAGAAGTAAGAAATAAAACCAGTAAATAAGACCAGTCTCAATACATTCACACACAGAAAAACCCACTGAAGATAATGGGAAATTAGCAGCCAGTGAGGTAGGATCTCCGTAGCTATAAGAGTGATGCTATCTTCAGGTAATGTCTAGACATGAAGGAAGATGATACTAACTGTTAGGGCTTGTGATTTTGTTCATTGAAAATGCTCTGCCTTCACTAAACCTGGCAGAAGACAGCTTTATCCATTCCAGTGTGCTGTCCCTAGGAGTGGCTAGTAGCATCTGTTTAGAGAAGGAGTGTAAGAGGGCAGAGCAAGATTTCTCTTGATCCATCCTCCCAGCTTCCAGCAATCAGCAGGACTTCCCCAGCTAGTGGTTGCATCCAGTTCATCAACTTTAATAGCCACCAGTGGACCTCTCCTTTGTTCATTTTCCTAATCCCGTCATGAACCCATCTGTACTTTCTGGCTTCTGCAATGTCCTCTGGCAACAAGTTCCACGCTGTGATTGTGCATACAGCATAAATCAAATACTGCCTGCTGTCTGCTTGCTGCCTGATCACTTCATTGGCTGCTGTGTAGCTCATGTATATAAAAATAAATAAGTAAATAAATAAATAAAAGGAAGCAACTAATTCTCCCCAGTTCATCATCTCTTCTCCGTTCATGGTTCTACAGATGCCTCTCAAATCTCTCCTTGGAAATCTCTTTTCCAAGCTGAAGTCCTAGCTTTTTTGGAGGAAAGCCACCCCATATTTATGATCATCCTCACTGTCTTTCCCCAGATCTTTTAATGTCCTACCACCTGCTGCCTCCCCTCTTGCACTCCCCACAGCCCAGGTCATACATATTAAACAGTAATTACAGCTTTCTGGAGTCTCTACCCAACATGAGGAGTGCAAATCAGCTCACCCAGATTGTCCGTCACTTGGTAGGAATCCCGGAAATCTTTCATGCGAAAGCCAATGACATCAATGAAATCCTCCACGAGCCTGAACAACTCCTTGGCATTTGGCCCCGTCTGCAGAGAGAGGGAGAATACTTAGTGGCGCAGATACTAAAGAGCACAGCATGCGTTTCTCTGAGGGCAAAGGTTTCCATCCTCACACACGTATTGGAAGCATATGCTGGATATAACAGAGTGTTAGGGAGCTGCGAAGAGTAAGGACCGAGACATCCTAAAAGGAGACCTAGAAAAATTAAAAGCAAAAGGTAGGAAATAATAATATGAGATTCATATCGACAAAACTGAGGGCAGAGGGCAATATCTATCAGCATATCTCTGGAGAGACTCTTTGTAAAAGATGACTTATCTGCCTCTTTACCAACCACCCTGTCCAGAGCAGACAAGCTACTGCTAATGTTCATTACTGTCCCATTCCTACCATTAATGCAACAAGAGAAACACAACAGGACAGACATTTAGCAGCCATGTTTTAATATAGCTCCACTGTCTTTCCCAGTCCATTGGCTGGAGTATCTGGCCCGTCATAACTTCCAACAAGCCAGTGGCATTTGCGATTGCACATCTAGTCATCGTGTCAGAGAAAGAGGTGTTCAGTGTTGAAGCTCTGCCCTGTGTCAAATTTTGAGATCCTTTCTCAAGCCTTAGACTTATCTGACCTTCAAGTACTTCAATATTTAGCCTGAGAAACATGTGCTGGCATCTTCTGACTATATATGTTACATACTGACAAGGAGTCCACAAAGCTTTACCCCCACCAGGACAGTTAATTTTGCCATCACTCCACTGAAAGGAGCTGCACCAAGCCAAGAAGTCCAACCTATGCTACTGACATGCATGAAATGCAGCTTTGAACCAGGCTGGTTGTCAATATTTCAGGCTTGCAGCCATTTGGGATGTTTGGGAAACTGTTTTCACGCATGGACAACACAGAAGCGCAACAGGATGTCAAGCGGGAAGTAGGGAAAAAATTTAAGTGAGGTATCTCTGCTTTCCCTCCCACCTTTGAGCACCTCAGGGACTTTTGGGTGCCTGTTTGATGCCCACACTAGAAAAGAGGGAACAGCAAGAGGACAAGAGCGGGGAGTTCTCTGCTGTCTTCCCTCCTATTCCCTCTTGAATTTCCAAATGTTGTTCCTTGCTCTGAGCCTTTTCTAGATCAAAGGCTGCAGAAACCCTGTGGTGTACCTCAAGGTAATTCTGAATTAAATTCTTGTGGAGGGAGGGAAGAGCATCCTCAAAGGCAGGAATCCAGCCTCTGAACAATTTTTTTCCAGAGATGAGTCAGACTTGTTTAGTGACACAGGGCACAACAACGCTGGAAAAAAGTCCCTAAACTACTCTTACTAAACCAAACACCTAAAATACCTGCAGGCTTAAACTCACCCCTGCCTATGAAGAAGGGAAGAGGGAGAAATGTGGCCTCGGGGTTGTTTGCTTGTCTATGTAATACAGCCCATCATAAACCCACAGGGTAATTCGATAGCGTTTCACTGAACCAGATCTCTGACCCAGGCACATCAGCCAGTTGTTGACCTGAGTTAGGAACAGCCTGGAAGGGAAAGTGTATCTCAGCAGTGCAAAGCTTTGCCTTGGGAGCAAATGTTGTCCAACAAACATATTATTAGCGAGGACCTCCAGGGTCTAACGTTGAATCCCAGGCACCAGGTCACATAATCCTATCCCGACAAGTAGCATGGTCTTTCTTAAGGCTAAATGTGCTTTCTTGTTCTGCTGGCCGGATCTCACTCTCCAAATAACCAAGTCGTTTCTTCTTGGGTCTGGGCTGTGTTAGAGCTTATCTGTCTCTTTAGTCTTGTGTTTCTCTCATGGTGTTTTCTCCATGATAGAAATACTGGCAATAATCCTTTTCCACTGCGTTTTGCTAGGCTAACACAAGGCTGTTAAGTGATAGCTAGTTTCCCAGCAATTAATTTAACAAAAGATAATCCACCTGAAATGAGCTACACTGACTACCTATCTTTTCCTCAAAGCACGTTCCCCTAAGGGAACTTAGCTAGTACCACAAGAGACCGAAGAAGAACAAATCAGCTCCTTACATCTTTTCTTTTACTTTTCCGCTGCTTTCACAGCACTTTCAGATTCTCACCATAATTCAGACCTCCTGAAGGGACTGAGCAGAGCTGAAGGGAAAACTGGGGACGGGGCAGGGCAGCAGGATGGGACTGAAGCAGAAGGAAGGTTGAGCTGGCAAAGAGGTACAGGGCTAGTCATGCGTGTTTGTCTGTCTGTCTGTACAAAGGAAGCTTGATGAACTAAAGCCGTATTGGGATCAAAAAATCCTGCCAGTACTGCAGGTACTGCAGGTGCGCACATAAGGAGTGGAAGTAGGGGGGAAGTTAGTTTTAAGAGTATATTTTTGTATTCTACTATTGATTGAAACTGCAAGCCCAAATTAAACTGAGGCTGTGCTACTCATCTTCTTTCGGACTTCTGTCTTATAATGGCCAATATAATATCCCAAATGACCTGGCAGCCCTTCTCTGTTTTAATACAACTGATTTTTTTTTTTTTTTCCTTGAACAACACCTTTGCCCAGAGGCCATAGGGTAATGGAACGGAGTGCAATCGAGTTGGGTATATTTTTAATGTGCAAATTTGAAGGCAGGGCCCTTTTTAAAAAAGGATTGATTTATCTAGCCAGATGTGGGTCTTGAATTTTCTCCAGTAGCTTTGAAGGAGAAGGACAGAGACTGCTCAAGCCTCTGTTGTCATCCAGCGTCTGTAAGATTTCTGAGGGCAGGCTCTATTCTAAAGCCACAGTGTTAGGCTGTGATTTTAATTCCCACCAAAATATACAGGAGTCAGGCAAGCATTCCCCATAGCAGTTGAAACCCTCTTGGTCCCACTTCTCGTGCAGGATGCTGCAGTGCTGGCAGCAGGCTGGGCCGTATCTATCTATAGGTGCAAAGAGCAGATGGTACAGGGAAAGCCAATGGGAAAGAATTGCCACAAAGAGTAAGCTGCAGCTGGTTTTACGGGGGTCAACAGGGTTTCCCTGTTGTCATGACAACTCAGCGGTCTCCTCAGTGCTTCTCTGAAATACATAGACACACCTGTGCACTTGAGACTGAGCATTCGGTCCTTTATGTTGCCTGGAGCCAGACTGCACCATCCGCTTCCAAATGCAATGGGACACTGCCAGGTCTCAGGGAGAAAAGAGGGGAAAGGCAGGTTCACGAGGCTGCTCAGCTCTCGGTGGAGGTCCTGCTTCATGAAGGAGCTGTAACACACTGGAGCGCTCAGGCCCCTTGCTCAAGTAGCAGACTGCCAACGAGTGTGCCAGCATCTGGTGTTCAGACTTCCTTCCAGAGGACTTTCAGGGTTGGTGAGACCGAACTAGTCTCTGAGGTTGCTGTTTGCACTGGGTAATTCTTTCTTGCTTATTTGGTATTTTCCAGCCTTTCTGAGGAATTTTGCAGCAGCAGAGGCTGGCTAAAAAAGAGGTGCCAGGTTCTGACCCACACCTCCAAGTGCCTTCCACAGGATGGAAGTCTCTCAGACACTAAGCTACATGCCATGTCCTGATTAAGTTGTGCCCTGAGACCAAGGCAAGCTGGAGTTTATCTTCCAAGGGGCAGTAACAAGGAATGGACAAAGACCTAGCATTACCATGGACCTATCCACCAGAGCTGCTGGTCTGAGGCAGAATCATTTCACTTTGATGGGACTCCTGAAGGCTGCCTTGAGACAAAGGCTTCAAGCAGCTCAGAGGTTTGCAGGGAGAATGGGAAAAGGACAAGGAATAAGTCTCATACAAGCCCAAGCAGAGATTGCAACTGGAACAGAAGAGACAGAGGCCAAGAAAGATGTGGGCAGAACAACAAATAACATCTCCTACTGGTACGCTAGGGTTTAGCTACTGAATTACTCAGCAGAATCTCAAACCTTGTGAGGAGAGAAAGTAAAATATAACTGAGCCCTTGCTCAGCTTGTCCTGAGCAGAACTAGAAGCTCAGGTGAGCAGAATACAGGTCTGACCCATGAAGATCCTGCCTGTCCTGCATCTTTTCAGCCAGGAGCTCCATGCAATCCCTCTGCTTTATCTTGACAAGAGGAGAAGAGAAGAATTATTCCAAGCCAGGAGGGTTACTGATTCCAAAGTCAACCTGATCTCTGAGATTCTCTTTCCAGAATCTGGTATTCACCACCAGTTTTCCCTGGTGTATAGCTGAGATCCAGTGCCTCAGTGAGTTACTCCATAAATATGACTCACGGTAGCCTGGCACTACACTTACAAGCACAACTGATTGCATGAATCGGCTGATTGCCAGTGACCCCTTCAGAGGCAGTTGGTTCTGAAGCTGACCACAGCTGACCATGTCTAAGTCATCTATCTGTTTCATCATAAGGAGTTACCCAAGGGGAATAGCCATTGTGGATGGAGGCATTCTTTGGTCTGTGGCTGATATCAATGCATGTTGCCCACAACACATCATGGGCAAGAAGAGCGAGGAGGTCTAGCTTAAAGTTTAAGCCTTCTCTGAAAGCCTGTCCTGTTTCAGAGAACTGCTGAGTGTTCATACCAGCTGCGCTTCCTCCCATTTGTCCCGGTTTTCCTCTGATAACAGGTTGCTGATGATCTGGACAAAGTTCTGGAGAAGAGAGACAAAGAGAGAGAGAGAAAAAAAAAGAAACGGTGAGGAAAACAGGTTAAGATAAGGCTTATATCCAAGGCTTTCACTGTGACTGCTATGGCTTCTAAAGCACTGTACGAGAATATGTGTTGTCTCCATTACTGAAGATGTTTAAGAACTGGTTAGATAAACAGCTACCAGAAATTGGCTCAGAACAGGTGATCTTGCTTTGTGTAAGTCACCTCCCACCCTATTTTTTAATATTTTCTTTATTTCCAGGGAAATCTCCTTGTGATCTTCTTTCCTCTGTGACTGGGAAAGAGAAGCAGTGATGGAGCAAGGGGAGGCTGTGCATAGTGGTATCTTTGTGTGACCATGCAGCACATGACAAGAAGAAAGGAGAAAAGTGATTTCAAGACCATTGATTTTTTTCTCCAATTCTGCCACCCATTGCAGAGCCCATAGGATTAGTTTAATGTTTCAAGTCATGCGATGATGACCTATCCCAGGGGTATATCTTGTAGCCACTCTCCGTGCAACTGCTGAAAGTAAAATCCTGGAGTGACAAGCCATCGAGACATTCTCCCACATCAATATCCAGGTTCCTAATACCACAGGATCATCTTACCTCTGGTCATTAGACTGCAATCCTTTCTAAACAATGCTCTCATATCAATTAGACTCCACAGTAAGTGCTTTTAGGTTGAGTAAGTGCTTTTAGGTTGAAATAGTTCAGAGTCACTTTGATTTTCAAGTTCTCACTTTACAAGCCAGGGAGAACTGCCTCAAAGGGGGAGTTTGTTAGCACACAGAGGCACTGCACTTGGGCATAAATTTCTCTTGATTCTCATCAGCTTTGAAATGACTACGAAGGACAAAATCAAACCCTGAGTTCTGTGCATGCACGCACACCCGTAACCTAGCCTTGCCCACCAGGGTGCATCTCAGCTCACCTGCACATCCCCAGAAGTCGGGCTGTAATAAGCCCTACGGAAGATCTCTGTCATATTCCTGAGTATGTCGATGGTGGACAGCAAGTCTCCACTGTAGCTGGTCCCATCCTGGGAGATTTCCACAAGATTTTGGAGCACTTCTGACAGCCCATCTCCCATCAACCCACGCTGAGCTTTGGAAAGATGTTCCCTGGTCTGAGAAGCAGAAGGAAACATGACAAATATGTTAGTGACAGTCAAAACCTAAGTTAATGAGCTCAGTGAAGGAATTGCTGGGGGAAAGTTTATGACCTTCCACATAATTCAGAGTATAGATTAGATGAATCTGGCAATCTCAGCTGGCCTGAGAGCCCGTGATATTTATAAAGTTGTAGCAGAACAGAAGTCAAATTTTTGGTATGCACACAAAGAAAAGGTTGTGTGTAGATTCAGAAGAGGTTATTCTACTACACAGAGGCTTTTCTGCTGGTAACCCAAGGCCATCTAACAGATTTTACCCCCAAAGTGGTTGTCTTTTAACTGAGTTGGAACTATCTCGGGAGAGACTGTAGCTAGTCCTGAACAGGAAAGGAAAGCTCTAATAAAGGAGATGATAACATTTTAAGGCAAGGCTCGGGAGACTAGCAAAATGGGAGAATTCATCACGACAATGATTTGGAAACTAATGAAAAATAAGTAGCTTATTTAAAGTTATTATTATCAGTAAAAGTGTTACAATCGCAGTGTTTCTTACTTATAATGTGATACAGAAGACCTGGATTCTGTCATGCTACCCATTAAAATACTCAGTGAGGAACCATCCCTTGCCCATGGATGGATCCCTTGCCCCGCACAGAGAGACTGAGAGAAAAGCAGGACAGAGCTGCCACCTCCCTTTCTCATGAAAGTGCTGTTTTTCCTTCTTTTTTTTTTTTTCCAACTGCAGCAATGTGACAAGCAATTTTGTAAGATCTTGTTTAGCTGAGGAGTCAGTCTTCCTTACCATCATCTGTATGTTCCTATAATCAATAGAAACACACTTGATGTATGTTGGAGATTCCCAGTAAGCTATCCCTTCTTCATCTAAAGTGCATCTCCGAATGATCAGCCCTAAAAGAAGAAAGAAAAGAGCATGGAAGTGGGGACAGTTGGATGAAAAGCCAAGCATCTTCATGGAGGCCACCCAGAACTGGCCAATGCTGCTACACAAGCACACCTACCAGCACGAAGAGCAATAGGGACATCTGCTTATGCATGAACCACATGCACTAGCATGTAGGACAGGTTATTTTTAGTTCCTACTCCAGGATTTTCTCAGTGAGGGGCAGGACCACAAAAAAAAAGGAAATGAGAATGGAAACAAAAGGCTATCAATTTGGACTTAGCTAATCAAGGAAAAAGAAAGTTTTCCCTGCCCTTGTATACAACAGGCTTACAAAGTCCCACAAGCTTCCCGAGACGGCATGGTCCAGTACTTGCAACTGAACCAGCCACAGTGGCTTATGCTACCTACACAGTCTCAACAAGAATTAATATCCAACAGCACCATCTTTGCATCAGCTGAAAAACTCTGAAAGCCACCTCTGGTCCTCCCCCAGGCTCCTTCTGAGCTTCAATCTACAGTGAGTTTTGCAGTGGTAGTCATGCATCTTTGCGAGGCAGGGGAACAGACACATCAGCATGATGAACGGGATAAGGATCACCTTGTCTGAGCAATTATGCTGCCATTCAGAGAATCTCTGAGGAACAGACTTTGCTGGGTCCGCAATCCCATTGCTACGGCTAAATCATTTGGTGACCTTGCTATGGATACAGCCCTTCCTCTATGCTAGCACTTAGGATGAGGCTGACTGGTCAAGGTGGTGTGAGTCACAGAGCTTCAGAGTTTGCCTGTATCTGCAGCTTCACCCAAACACAGGAAAGCCTTTATGTTCATTACAGGAACTGCTGCCCCCATTGCATTTCCTGCCTAGATGTGGAGAATATCCAACCAAGGACAGCATCCACAACCAGCACGCCTCCTGGAGCCTTCTCCCTTGCACTCCTTTCAACTCTTCAGGGAACACATGGCTGCAGCTACCACAGATAACACCTAGTTGCCCAGACACTATCACTTCATACCACCATGGTCAGAGGGTGTACTTGAGCACCTAAAGACGAGTTTAGGAAGCTACTATGGTTTCTGAGAAGGAAAGAGAAACATATGATTGAACAATGCAGTTCAGATTTCCCATTTTCTGATGTTGGCTTTTTTTATGGAGAAAAACACTCACAACACCCAAGTCCAAGGGACTCTAGCAAGCAGTCACCTATGTGACTGCTTACTAGAGTCCTTATATGCCTACTGCTTCTGCAGAGCTATTTGTGGACGTACCACAGCAGCCCTTAAAAGTGAAGCTGTTCCAGGACCAGGCAGTAGCTGGATGAGAAACCACCTCAGATTCTCCAGTATTGAGCAAGAAACTGTGGTTAGAAAGTGAGGGACCGTGGAAACCCACAGAGATTTTATTCAGCCCCGAGCCCAGGGAGGGAAGTCCCATTGCTCATCCTCTCCTCCTACATCCAGGTCCCCCCATCTAGGAGGTGATGGACGAAGGAAGCTCTGAGGGATGGCCAGCTCCCGGGCTGGGACATGCAATCATCCTTACCCGTGGCATTGCGAGGACACCGGACAGCCGCAGCCTCCCCAGCGGGAGTTTCTTTCCACACCACAGAGGCAAGGTTTTCCTCATCACAGATTTCATGGGGCTCTGCAAGGAAGGAAAAAATTTAGTTGGTAAAAGCTCCTCCTCAGGGCACGGGAAGGCAGAAAGAGGAGAAACACGAAACCCACAGGGAAAACAGGGGAGGGTGATCTGGAGAGAAGAGTACTGTGAAGCAAGCCAGGATGTCTGGAGGTGAATTCCTGGCTCCACAGCTACCTTGGCACCTGGCCCCTGACAAAGCCCATTAACCTCTGTGGAGTTTACTCTGCTGTCTGAAAACTGGGCCTCAGGCCATGCTGAGGATTAGCTAGCTAATACACATGTACAACCTGGGAAAGTGTTAACATGCCTGCTTTGCCTTGTGGCAGCTCTTTGGAAGAAAGCTGTTACTGCTGAAGAGTTTTCTTTTTTTGCTGAAGGGAAGATGGTCACCTTTTGCAGGTGAACACTATGGGTGCAGACCCTACTCCTGGTCTATCCCTCAGGGTCACCACACAGATGTGGGGTTAGATATTTCGAAATGTAGTTCTGTAAACAGGTTTGTGTAAGAATGAAGGAAAGAGCAACAAGTGGAGGAAAAAAACAAGATGAATGTATCCCTCAGGTGGAGTTCCTCCAGTCCCTCCGGTCCGTTGCCGTCTTATGTGAAGACACAAGAAGGAGGTCTGAGTATCAGCAGGCTGTATTTGCATCAGCAGCTTATTTCTAAATACTACTGCATAGCCCAGCAGACTTCAGAAATGTGCAAAAAGTGTTCCTAGATGTTACAGAAAAAGCCTTTTGGAAGGAGATGGCTTTCAGCTGCTTCCACCTGTGGAAGGAGGGCATCCACCACAGAAGGAGGGGTTTCTGCTGCGAAACTCATTACTTGCAGCCCATAAAATGGAGGGAGCCATGAGTAGGGTATTAAAGCTATTTATCACTCCTGAGGGTGGAGAGGAGAAAAATTATATTTAATGGCTTTCAATTACAGCTTTTATTTATTGTGCATGTAAAGCTACCAATAAACAGGAAGCTGAGTGAATGCCTGCGACTGGCCGGGAACGGCAGCTGCAAAGTCAAAGCCAACCAGCTGTGGAGCTGGGCAGATTGCTGAGCTTCCTTCTCGTGCAGGACAGCACTGCCCGTGCCAGGGTCCAGTGGTGCCACTACAGATATGCCAAGGTTGTCGAGAAAATGTACATGTGCCGCAAAGAAAGGATGGGGGCCTTGGGTTTTTGTACTTCCCCCAAGGGAGCTGCTGAGCAGCAATGACCCTGAAGGCATCCTTCCACAGGGGACTGTGCAATGCATGTGTTAACAGAGAGACAGTGACCAGCTCAGGACCTGCATCACGAACAAATCTCCAGGGGAGGACATACCCCAGTGCTGTTCTGGAGCTACTCAGATCACTGACCTAGCTTTGCGGAAGGCTCAAACTCAAGTTCATGTGGATGGCAAGTCCTGCTGCTTTGAAGGACTTGTACAGGACCCAGCAAGCTACCTGCACCTCCCTGGGTCCAGCTCCAGGCCTATGTAACTCCCACCCCAGCCGTAATTCAAAGACAGATTCCTCCCTGGCCCATCCAGTAGACACCAGTAATGAACAAGTTATTGTGTCTGTCTGGAAACAGATGCTCCGTCCCCCATTTTAAAATTCCCTTTTAAGTAATCACTATCGCGATGAAATCCTCGAGGGCAAGCAGGATCCCTGCTGTGTTCTGAACACATGCAGAAATAGGCCCAACATGCCTACAACAGGGGCATGTGGGTTCTGTAGCTAAGGCAGAACATGGGCAGAAAAGTGACAGTTTTATTTCCAAGCTATTGGCAAGGAGCTGCAGGACACAGAGATTAAGTTACCCAGTTGTGACCGGCCTGTGGCCACCTAGAGAACCTGTGGCAGAGAGCTGAATGCAAAACTCCCAAGTCCTGGCCCACTGCTTTGGTCAAATGTTCTCTAGATCAAAATGAGGTTCAGAGGAGGACCTGGGGCATGGGGTAGGGAGCTTCTAGCACCCTCGTTTGCAAAGCAGTGGAGCAGACACTGCACATCAAAAAGCAGAGAGGGAGAGGGAGTTTGTTCCCATCCCACCTGCTCCTCTTCCTCCCTCTCTGACCCATCAAACCTTCCCTGTTTCTCTACCCCTGCAGTCTCCCTGGGGACCGCTGAGGGATGCTGTGGATTAGAGATGCGCTTTAGAAATACACTGATTGTCTGGCATGGTCTTGTCAGTGAGAGCAGAAGTAATTCTGAGGCCAGAAGAGAGTCACTTCATCCCCTTGCTCCTTTTCTTTTAACTTTCTTTCTTTTTTTTTTTTTTTTTGATGTTGCTTCATAGCAAAATCATTTTTACAAGAGTAACCTATTTGCACTGGGAAATTTTAATAACTAACCCAATTAAGCTCAACTCTTCTGTTCAAATCAAATCATGCCAGCATTTGATACTTTCTCGAGAACAAATTGAGTCAGTTTATTTTTAGCCTCTGATGACTCCCCACCTTTTTCCTCCTCTACAAATTAACAACTGCAGTGAGACCCCTCTGGTTTTGAACCCTAGCACGGCTCAGTCCCTGAGACATGCTTTCTCCTTTTGAGCGCTGCACCGACATAAGCCCCTACAGAAACAGAAGAAAAGATTGGGCTTGTTCTGCCAGGGCCCCAGCTGGCACAAACTGAAGCTGAACTAAATCTGCATCACTCTGAAGACACCACCAGATGACCTGGTGCTAAGATTTTCTATGGCAAGAGAAAGCTTTGTGACTGAGTTAGAAGAGACTCTCACATGCCGCTACTAATTGAGAAGCACAGCTTGTAAGAAGAGGTGATGTCTTTTATGAGAACATAGCTGGTAAAAGTGAATTCGCTTTCTCACAACCTCTTTATCAGGTTTCTCTTATAGTTAAACTGGATGAAACTTCAGCACTGAAGTGTTAGGTCTTTTATCTTTGTATTCAGCAGTTCGTAAGGGACTCTGGCAGGCAGCTATGCTGAGCGCTGCAGAGCCTCCCCCAGAACATCGGCTCCAAACCCACCAACTCTGTGTCGAGCTACAGCACATCTTTTAGGGAGACACCTACTCTTTTCCAGGATCGCCAGGATGTCTCCATGAGAATCTCTCCCATCGCTCAGTGAGCTCTTCTGACAATTAATTTACCTCCCAGTCAAAAATCAGGGCTCATTACGATCAATGCAGTCTGACTGCCAGCATCACATAGGCCATTGATTTCCCACCAGCAATTTCACTAGAACGCGTTTTAAACATGACTGAGAAAGAAAATAAAAATGATGCACAAGCCTTTTTTTCAGGCCTCTTTGTACTGGCTAAGAGACAGCAAGAAGCATTCTCACTTGTAAGTATTATTTCCCTCTGCTTATTTTTCACGTTAAAAGCCAAGTTTTCCTCTGACCTGTTCCCCAGCCCTTGTCTTCCTTTCAGACTTTTGCACCCTTTTTTCTGAGATGGATGCTGCTACGATGACTTTATCTGGAGAGGAAGGGGGAGACAAGGTAAATTTCTCACAGGTATAGATGTGTCTGTCTTGTTTAAAACTGCCAGTGGCATGCAGGTCTCCCAGAGGCTTGGTAAAGCGTGGGACACCACTACAGCATTCTCAATACTCAAATTCTTCTGATATTTTTTGCCTTTATCGAATAGTGTATCTCTGTTTTTTCCCCTCTTATGACTCTACAGCAGTGAAAAGCACCATATTTACACCCATGGGATTTATCAAACATTCAGTGAAATCAGCAGGATCCTTACACTGTCTTTGGCAAGTATGAAAAGCCTTGACGTTTCTTGGGCCTGTGTTATGGGCAGGGTCCAATTAGATTGCAGCCATTCTGTGTTGCCTTCATGAAGCTCTCTGACATATACTCAGCAGCCATTTCCAAAATCCCTGTCTCCCCAGAGCAACAGAGCGAGGGGCTTGGGCTACTTACCAGGACACCTCTTGTCATTGCACTGTTTATACTCTTCCTTGGGCCCCTGGCAGGTCACTCCACCAAAGAAAGGCCCGTAGCATACACGATCACGTCTCTGAGTCCCACCTCCACATGTGGTGGTGCAGCTTCCCCACACTCCCCAGGCCTGCCATTTCCCATCCACTGGAAAGAAAAAAGAGGAGAGAAACAGCCTGTCACATCCCATCATTATCTGCAGCAGAGGGAAGCAAATTCCCAAGGTAAACCCTGGAACATGTGGTTAGTAGAGCACGGCTTGGTGTGGAGGGAGGTTTCCTGCCTTGGTTCCTTGTCTGATCCTCAATAGACGTGATCAGTGTGTCAGTATCCTCCCCCACCCACCCAAACAAGCCCATGCCTTTACTTTGGGAAATCAAGGAAAATCTGGGGGGCTGGGGAAGCCTCTCAGATTTGGGACTCTGCCTATGAACACTTTCAGAGTAGGCAGGGATTCAAACTGCCTGACAGCCACATCTACCAGACAAAGTCCATAGCTTGAGTTTGGTTGGGATGTCCAAAGAACGTGCACAGTCAGACCTTCCCAAAGAGTCATACTTCAGGCCCAGAGGTCTAAAGGGACCAGCAGAGCCCTCAGGGGAGAAACCAAGAAGAAACATCAAATAAATGTCCCTCCATCTGTTTCCATTGCATCATTGCTTCACGTGCCTTGGACAGAGGTTTTGCAAGAGCCCTGGACTTAGAGATTGTCTCATTCCATTGTATCCTCTCCAGGCATCTCTACAGATTCCGTGGAAATACTTCTTCTTTTATATTAACAATGGCATTTATCAAAGCACTATAAAAATGTTAATTAGCCCTCACAACAAGCCTGCAAGGCAGGGAAGCATTCTCCTCTCCTGCATCACAGAGAAAAAACAGTAACTCAGTGACAGAACTAGAGCAAGGACCTAAGTCTCCCGATTCCTGTTTGGGTTTTAATTAGGAATTAACAGGTCATCTTGGATCTAATAACTCCTGTAGGGAGGGTAGGAGGTGCCACTCTTCTTCTCCAAGCAGTGGAAGAAAATTATTATGAAATAAAGGGGATAGGTCCAGCCTCTGATGCTTTCTAAGGTGGCACCATATGGAGTGTAAGCTGTGACCAGTGTTACTTCAGCATCTAACTCTGAAATCAGTGGGAGGAGGATGCTTAAAAGAGAGTTTGGCCCTTTGTGTCTCTGAAAATCTTCACAAGTTACAAAGACAGAGTAGGATAGGTAACAGAACCTACTCGAGTCCATGTAGGAGAGTCCAATACCCGTGTTAAACACTTATTTATGTTAGTCCTATTGTGCTGCTAGAAAGTAAAAGTCCCATGCAGAGGGTGTAGCAACCAGGAGAATAGGGACTCCCTGGTGAAAGAAGTATGCCAGGCTTAAAAGCTTCCACCTTCTTTGTATGCAGAGATGATAATATTTGCTCACATGATCGAGGTGTGTGCGGTGCCTGGAAGAACTGAAGTGTTTCTGGCAACCCTGTTCTCTCAGAAAGGGGAGAAAGGCCCTTTCCATCTCAGGGGCACACTCATTCTCAGTTCTACATGGGCTGGAAGCGATGGAGCACTCACAGAGAGACAAGGAAAGGGCCAGCAGAAGCATGGCAAGAACTGGTCTCTGATCAAGCTTGAAGGCTTCTGGAGGTTCAAGCCTTGTTTTCAGGTGGGAATATTTTCAACACCAACAGATCTACTTAATCTCTTTGCAGTGGCCCTCCCTGAGACAGAAGGAGGGGAATTGCACCTCCAGCTCTGCAGTGCTGGCAGCAGCCTGAGAAATGCAGGCTTCCAGTGTCTGGCGTGCTGAGATATCTGTTCCTGTTTTTGTCTTTTTTCCTACCTGAAATAGTTCGCCTGGAGCCCACGCTCACTGATACAAAGATAAAGTGATTATTCCGAATATGAGGTGGTGGCTACAACATCTTGGGCAGAAGGAGGGGGCAGAAGGTTTTTTGGCTTTTTTTTTTTTTTTTTTTTTGAGACATGACCAAATAAGTAAAGTAAATAAGTCTTAGTCATGAATCAAGGCTACCCTGTGCTAGGCCTTGTCATGGACAAGATTCAAAGTCACAATAAAACGGTAGTTGCTGCCCTTTTTGCTTCAATCGTAACTAGGAGTGGTCAACTGCTAGAGAAGAGAAGAGAAAAAACGAAAAAAGGAGAAAAGTAGAAGCATTGCAGAAGCATGGAAAGGATTTTGTTAGCTGGTTTATTTTTTTAGGCACATACTGAAAACTGGTAACTGAGGTTAGAAAGATATTTTTCCTGGAGACAATTTTTCTTGGACCTGGAAATGAAGTTCAACAAAGGCAAGTGCAAGGTCCTGCACCTAGGCAGGAATACTCCCATGCAGCAGGACAGGCTGGGGGTTGACCTGCTGGAAAGTAGCTGTGCCGAGAAGGACCTGGGAGTGCTGGTGGACAACAAGTTAACCATGAGCCAGCAGTGTGCCCTTGTGGCCAAGAAGGCCAATGGTCTCCTGGGGTGCATTAGGCAGAGTGTTGCCAGCAGGTGGAGGGAGGTGATCCTGCCCCTCTCCTCAGCCCTGGTGAGGCCTCACCTGGAGTACTGTGTCCAGTTCTGGGCTCCCCAGTACAAGAGAGACATGGCGCTCCTGGAGAGAGTGCAGCGGAGGCCTACAAAGATGATGAGGGGACTGGAGCACCTCTCCTCTGAAGAAAGACTGCGAGAGCTGGGCCTGTTCAGCCTGGAGAAGAGAAGCCTGAGGGGGGATCTCATCAACGTGTACCAGTATCTGAAGAGACAGAGCACTGGAACAGGTTTCCCAGAGAGGTGGTGGAGTCTCCTTCTCTGGAGATATTCAAAACCCTTCTGGATGTGATCCTGGGCAATATGCTCTAGGTGACCCTGCTTGAGCGGGGGGGTTGGACTAGATGATCTCCAGAGGTCCCTTCCAACCTGAATGATTCTGTGATTCTGTGATAATCACTCACGTCTCCAGGGTCTCCTGAAGCATTTGACTGCTACGGATTGTGGCTTACATGATCCATTGGTATGATCTTCAACCTCCTTATTTCTGAATTAGTGGTGAAAACTGTCCCACCCTTCCCCAAAGAAAATAGGTGGGGACTTCACAAAATCCTACCTGGAATTGCAGCAAAGGATGACGCGAGAAAAAGATTAAGGCTTTGGTCACTGACCTGGGCATTGCCGTAGGAAACAGTCCCTGGTCTCCACCCAGTGTCCCTGGCACTCTGCTCCACCGTAGGAGGGTCCGTTGCACTCCCTTGTCCGCTGCTGGGTGCCGTTGGAGCAGGAGGCGGAGCACGAGCTCCAGCTCGACCACTCATTCCAGTTGCCGTCCACTGAGTGGCCCAAAGAGAGATAACAAAACTGAATGTGAAAATCGCTCTCACTGGGACGAGGCATGTGCAAGAGTCTCTAGCCTGTGCAAACGGGGGACCAAAAGGTGGGGACAAGCTGGAGTCACAGAGCATGAGGGAGGGAGAGGAGCATCAGGGAAAAGGTCAGATACGTGTGGCAACGAAAATTTCTCAGGACCCGCAGCAACCTGTGGCTCATATTTTACGGCCCAGTAGGATGCAAGCGCCAAAACATTGTTTATGTTCATAGTCTACGTAATACCTTAAAGGTTGAAATTATTAATAATATACATTGCAACATAACAATCAAAACTATTAATATTATAGATATAACATCAAAATAGAGAACATGGAGCATGTTTTCACTGAAAATTTTGAAGGAATCCATACATTCCCCAAACATTTCCCTTTTGGCCAATCGGCGCTTTTTGAGGGAATATTTTTCATCATGACTTGTCCAAAGCAATGGATGGGCCTAGAAGGAAGGGCACTTCCTCAAACCCCGAATTCCGTTTTTCAGAGGCAATCCTTAAAGCACACACATAAAATGGGACCACAAAGTTATTCAGTGGAATTCAAGCTGCCAGCCAGGAAATACTCAGAGCACATGTGTGAGCTACTGCGAGCCCATGAGCAGAGTGTGCGTGCGTGGTCAGTGTACTCCTCTTATGGCTGGATTAACACTGACAGGCTTGATATGTCTCGACACAGAAACAGCTTGGATAATTAAATAGGGGAGGAAGAGAAAAGAGAAATTATGATAAGGACAGGAAAAAATATGAATACATCTTATTGGCATGATATAGTGTAAAGCATTCCCAAGGGTGGCAGTTGCACCCTAGTTGGTCCCTGATCAACAGACAGCTCACCCAGTCCACTATTCCTGGAACACTTTTTCTCATTAGCAGTAGTCATCATGCTCTGTCTAGCTTTCACTAGCTATTAGTTCTCAAAAAAAAAAAAAAAAAAAAAAAGAAAACTGAATCCCTAAAAAAGTCTGAATCCTAGCTTAAATTCTATTTTTGTAGATTCCCGCTTATTTGCTTTGATTTTGTTTACCAGTCCAGGAAAAATATATGCAGTCTCATCCCTTGTGTAATTTGCAAGACCTCAAACAGCCCCAAATAATCCCCAGTGCAGTTGAGTGACTTTTTGTTTTTAAGCATGTTAGAAAATGCCAAAATACTCAAATGAGCAGCTGTTAACTCACAGGGTACACATGAGCTCAGAAGATCTGAAAAATAAAGCAAGTGTGAAGGTACTTCCAAAAGGTGCCTGTTTTTAGCAATCTAAGCCTCATCACGCGTTCATCATATGTAATTCAAGATGGTATGTCAATGCGATTGCAAGGAGGCAAACTGCAAGAGGTGGTGACTGAGCAGAGGTAATTCTTCTCTGGAACTGATCTAAAAATGCACAGAGCAGGTCTTACCAGGTGTAAATTAATGTAGCTTTTCTGACTTAAGGAGGTGCCACTAGTTCCCATGAACTGAAGGTGCCCGCTCCTCAAGTGTATTTGCATACATTAGAAAGGTGGAGTTGCATTTACCAAAAAGGCCGCATTCACCAAACCCCTACCTGCTGCAGTGGTAGTGGTGAGTTGGAAGCCTATCACAATTAGGAGCTTTTGAAGCTGGGAAAATAAAAGGAAGGCAGATCCATAAATTGCTCATTCACTAGGGAAAACGGAACAGGTGATTTCTTTCAAGACGAGAGCTTATATGTTCATGGACTGTAATTTCAAAGACATTTAGAAAATGGACAAACAGAGATGGCCAAGTTGCATCTCCAGCCGTAGGCGCTGAAATAAAGCGGTCTCATGGGCACGATGCCAAGGGTTCTCCATCACAGTGGCAGCAGTAAAAACTGCTTGGTGCCATTGTCACACTGCAATGGAAGTCTATCAAAGAGTTCATTGCAGACTGGCTCGTACGGTCTACTCAGGCACTGGCATTGTCTTCCCGCTCTCCCTCTCTCAGAAGGACTTGGGGCTCTGTCTGTGATAGCTAGTGCTCCAGAGAAATAAGAGCTCCATTGTCCCTGCAGCAGAGCATTTTTATCAGTTGGGTTAATAAATCCTCAGAGGAGGGCAGTAATAGGCGGTACGACTGTCTAGTGCATGAAGCACTGAGCAGCGCCCATTGTTGTGCTTCAATGAGTCCCCCAATGCCACACTCATTTGTCATGGCAAAGCCACTGATTGCTTTTGTGGTATTAATTAGAACTGAAGTCTTTCAGTTGGGCTGCCTGTCTTCCACCACTGTTTCATTTGCTACAGTGTAGCCACATATTTATTTGTATTTAAATTAATTATGGATCAATGTTAACTCAAGATATGCTTTATTGCCCAAGCAATGCTCTGACTTCTTCAATTTATTTTTTTTATGACAGAGCCAATTTGGGACCTGGGATGTTCTTATTTTGAGCCGAGTCTTTTGGACTGTGGCCAGAAATCCAAAGATAGTTATTTGGGGTGAAAACTAGGCAGAAAACGCCAGGAGTCTTTTCACAAATATTTTCACAAAGTTCTCATCACTCCCACAGTCCCTCTCCTCCTCTGGGAACATAATTTTTCATGGTGGTTCTCATGAAACTTGAAAAATGTCAGTTAACGTTATCCTGGGAGAGGGGAGGACTGTTGGGGAGATCCCTCATGTTCAGATCGTGTTCACCAGGACACTGTGATCTCCAAATGAAGGTAATGGAGACTCTGTGATAAACTCAAGGCCCAACTGTTTTAGAGGAGGATGCAGTTGGATTTCCAAAGGGTAAAAGCCATTTTATCTGAGGTTCCTTTCTGATGTTTCAAAGTAAAACTTGGGGAGAGGCATTTGGAAGTGAAATCTAGGGGTAGGAAAAAGGTTCCTCAAAGTATTCAAAATAAGGCAGGGAAGGCTCTCAGAAATCCCTCCATCTATGTCACTGCCCAAGGCAGAATCAAGTACACAGACAGCTTGCATATATAGTGAAATCCAGGCACATGTAATACTAGCAAACAAAATTATTAATTCTAGAACAACAAGCCCAGTTGGGCAAAACAGCTTCAAATCATCCACTGGCGATCATGAATGAGAAGTGTGAGATGGTCTTGAAAATAGTAATGACAGCTCAGCCAGTCCAGGTCTATCCCATGTAGCGCGTCCTCAGGAAATTACTATAGGGGGGAAATCTGAACCTTACAGAACGCCAAATCGAAAACCCCCAGAAAGTTCCTCTAGGTTGCTCCTCCAGTATATTCCTTCCTTATGCTGGAGGATCCTCTTTGGAATGGTGTAATCTGTGTGCTCATTCAGCTGGACACCTGCTCAGTGACAAATGCGATGGCCTTCTGGGGGATCGGGAGACCTGCTGGAGGGAACACTCCGTATCTCTAACTGCCTTACCTGGGCAAAGTGCAATGTTGCAGAACTTGGTTTGTTTTTCTGGGCCCTCGCAGGGGTTCCCACCAAACTGAGGAGGCTTGCATGTGCGGGTCCGATCCCTGTATCCTCGCCCGCACGTGGAAGAGCACAGGCTCCATGGAGACCACTCGTCCCAGGTGCCGTGCACTGAAATCAAAGCAGAAGAAGTAAGTCTCCTTTCCAAAGGAGGTCTCCAGACCCAGGGAGTGAGCCCACAGAGCGCAGCATCTTCCCACCCAGAATGAGCAGTATGTGAGAAACTAGTGTAGGAAGGCCAAGAACAAACCGGCCTGAAATGTGCAACAGGAACATCATGTAATTTTTTTATGATTTGGTATTGGCACCAAGTGTCTCTCACTTTCCAGCCTACATGGAATAAATCTTAATGCACTTTTCATTGACCCTATTTTTTTCTGCTTTTTGAGCTCAGGGAAAGGGCATTTTTTGAATCAAAGATACAATTAGCTAGAGAGGAGCAAAAAAGCGCTTTGGAGAGTAGCATCACCATCGTTTTGTCACTTGTTACCTTTATTTCCCTCCCTCATCATTTTTGTTCATTGAATCTTCAAAGACTACAGCTTTTCAAGCTTTCAGAAAAGGTGTAATGTGTCTCCTAATTACTGTCATACAGCAGTGACATCGTAGGTGCAAACCAGGGGGACTCAAAAATAATAAAGTGGGTGTGCAACATGCACCATCACCGGTAATTCCAAGAATTTGACATCCAAAGCCTTCCAACCTGTATTAATTTAATTTTATCCAGACTAATCTAATCTAATCTGGCCAGGTTATTTATGGAAAGTTAGTGATCATAATCTCTAGAGGCCAAATGTTACCAGAATGCACTGATCTCTCTTAAGGGACTTCATCGCTTCCAGCTTTAGCTGGAGAATCAATCATGCTTCAGAAAATAATAATAATAAAAAAAGAGGTGGGAACTTCTTAGTCCTTAGGAAGGCTCTACCTTTCTAAGAATCCTGAGTTGGTACTACCTGGTATACATCCCAAGTGGACAGAGAAGTCCTTGTTTTCTAACAGTGACTGATCCACTGACCTAAGGAAATGATGTTCATCTCTATCATTTTATAACTGTCACCAGGCACCTCATACGATGAGAGATAACCAGAGTAAAAAATGCAGAGAAGTGGAGGGGAACCAGCTTGGTGTTTTTGCCATTGGTTCTGAACAACAACAGCAGCTGGTGGTCTGCAGCTGTGAATAACACATTTAATTTAATATCACAGCTCTTCAAAATAATGCCCAGGTCCCCCAGACCATGTTTGTTCATCAGAACTGTGGAATAAGGAATATGAAAGCAATGAGAAGGGTTGGTTCACTTCATAAACATACCATCAGAATAAGCTTTTCATGTGGACTTTGCAATGGTATGCACAGCGTTAGGCTTTGAGCACCTGAAGGTCCAAGGACTAAGGTATCTGCTGTTTCTCTTCCTCAGCCTGCCGCATGCTTGGAAATTCCCCACAAGGGCATAATCCTTTCAGATTCACTGCGTCCGTTTCATTTAAAAAGCATGGAATTGTCAAAAGCATGCAGAACCACAGTCCACCTACAAGGACCTGATCTGTCAAGGGCTTATGAGGCTTTATGGTAAAAAGAGAGGGAGGGGGAGTCCACTTCCAGTTACCTACTCTGCACTTGCAGGCCTTCAGAGCACAAAGAGAACAAGTGAGCTGGCAAGGGTGAGGACCACAACCCGGTGAACAAACAACAAACCCTCATTTCATCTTCCCTCTTTCCACCTATGGGTGCTTGTGATTTAGGTCAGGGAATTAGGGAGACCTTAGGCTATAGAGTGCATTGAACTCATTACCAGGGCTGAAAACCTGGTCTGATGCTTTCCAGCCTTTACTGTAGGTGTGAGAAGGTGCCATAGGCAGTCAGTACTCCATGCACTCTACCTCCCTTCCCCTTCTGCCCATTCATGGATGGAGCACTCAGCCCACCTGGGCACACGGCAGAGTTGTTGCACTGTCTCTGCTCCCGGAGAGGGCCGCTGCACTGAGTGCTGTAGGAAGACGACACGCAGAACCTCGTCCTGGTCTGCCAGCCCTCCCCACAGGTAGTCGAACACACGCTCCATGGAGACCACTCCTCTGCAGCAGGATCACCTGTTGGGGTTGGAGCAGAAGGTGAGGACATGGCATCAGTGGTCCCTGGACTCTGGGGCAGCGATTGGATTCCAAAGTGCAGTTCACCAACTGCTGGCAATCTGTAAAGCTATGCAATGTGTCCCACATCTGGTGTGACAGTAAGGGTGCAAACGGGTTTGTGAAAAAATGTAAAGGTTGACAATGGTCCAAAAGGTTTTTTTGGGAAATGTGTTTTAGAGCTGTAGCACAAAAAAAGGGAAAGACACTGTAGAAGTGTCAGGACATTGGGCAGGGCAGGATCCACCGCTGGATGGTTTAGCCACTGCAGCACCATGTGGGCTGGGATTGTATACACCCCACTCTGGAATGGTACTCTGGGATGGTAACAGTGTTTAGATAAAGACAGTAAACATGTCCGTAAATGGAGAATTCATAGAGATTCAACTCCTATCTCCCCAATGCAGATTGGCAGCAGAAGAGGAGACAAAATACAAGGTGACAGTGAGAAGTCCTGAGAAGGACATTGGCTGGAGTAGTCCCACCAAGGCTACTCTTATAATCTGTCCTCATGGAGAACAGCTGCTAGATAGCATATGATATGGAACAAGATAGACTGTTCCCAGGGATGATACATTCCCTCTCAACTGCTTACCTGATGGGGCAGTGTTGGAAAGGACAGTAAAAGCATCCCATCAACCATGAGATGGGGATGGATAGGAGAGGAAGAGAACTATTTCCTCTATCATTAATATCCCTGCAAGCATATGGTCCTAACAGTGGTGTTTCACACAGGCCATAGCCTCAAAAAAGGTCGCCAAAAGCGTGGCATAGAAAGGACAGAGTTTTCCATGAGTTTTCATCGGCAGTAGTCTACCTGGGGGAAAATGTCTTTCTCTCCCTGTATGAAAACAAAAGCCTACTCTGTTTCATTTAATTAAGCTCTGCATTGTTTGGGTTTTAGTTTTTCAATGTATTACTAATAATTACACATGATAAACCTAGAAGATAACATTTGGTATGTATAGTACACAGGCATATGGCAAGAATAAACACCAACAGCACATCTTTGAGGTTGCATAATGTAGGGCCGTATCCGTCTAGTACCACGTTCTTCAAAGCGTCAGACAGCACCATGTCGCATCATAACAAGATGTGTCTGGCACACCATGGTGGATGGCACAAGAAGGACCACAGCACTGGGTGGAGTTGGTGAGCATGACTTAAATGGCCTTGCAATATGGCACGCAACATGTAGACTTGTGTCCTGCACCATGACCAAATTCCCCAGACAAAGCTGGACAGCAGATCCCGCATTGGATCGATCAGCTGCAACACGGAGCGTGAGAGAGATCCTCGTTCTGGGCTGCTACTGCTTGAGATCTCGGCCTGCTTGTAGGGCAGCAAGCGCTAGAGACCGACTGCGTGAAAATTGGTGTCAATACAGGATTCCTGATGGGGACTGTAAGTGCCAGAAACCACCACACTGCCCAGTAATACTGAAGGTAGCAGCTATGATTCTCCCTTAGCTGACCTAAAGCTGTGCATGACTGACTTCTTTCTCAAGGTTGTATATTCATTTACCAGTATCTCAACAAGATTTGTCAGAGTGCAGTGGAAGTATATTCTGCATTTCAGGAGTTCATGGCAAACTGACCAATTAAGGCTCCAATTCATTTATCTGCCCATTGGGATTTTGGGTACTGATATCTACATTGTCCAGTATGTGCTGTGGTTTTCAGAAAATCTGCTTTGGAAGGCTCCAGTGATTCAGAGTTAAAAATATGCCCTCTAGTAGGAGGCAGGTGGAACTACATATGAGAGAAGACAGTATGTACAGGCCTGTTAAAAGGAGAAAGCTTAGAGGAAGGTCCTTGGTGTAAGAAAGGTCAGACTAACTCTTTCATTTACCTTTTACCTGGCTGGTCTTCCGACTGACACAATATGGCTGGACCCAGTAAAAGATGGAGGTAAGGATGAGTGTCTCTCCATCTCATCTAAACTGTTGCAAAAATTATTGTGAGCTCCTCCTTTCACAGTATGGCTTCACACTAACAAGATCAAGGGTCAAGCAAATGCACTCCCCTTGCAGTTTGCACACTGCCTGCCTCCCTCACTGCCTATTTAGGGGAATGGACATCGAACATAACTGATTGTGTTCATTAAGCCAAAGTTGCTCAATACTGCTTCATTCCGCATCAGATTAATCTACCCGGCTGGTTCCAGTTAGGCAAATGTTATTGAACGCTGGTCTTTCTCTGGGATCTATAGGAGACAAAGTATGTTTGGAGGCCTTGGGGCTTCAAGGAAGCATTTCTCCCATATGCTGTTTCTCAGGTATTGGATCTCCTGGTATGCAGAGATCTGGATTTCCACGGTAATTAGACTCCCTTTCCAGTAAATGCTGGTACTCAGCTGGCTCTGTTAGATAGACAAACCTATGATCACTCAGAGTTCACCTCCAGCAGGTTGCCTTTTTGGCACCATCATTTCAGCAGTTGCCATCTAGGATGGCCCAGACTCCAGAAGATACCTCTTAGGCCCGCAGAGCCCAACCTTCCCAGGTATCTACCTTGCCTAGACCCCACACAGACAACACTTTTGCGCTGCTCAGAGAACCATGCCCAAACTCCTCCTTGCATCAACTTTCCCCCTGCTCCACCCAGCAGCACCACATCCCTCGGTGGCAGAGGTCTGACATTTTTCAGCTGATCTGCAATCCCACCGTGGCAGCACTGTCCTAGTTTCTGCAGTTGCTGCAGAGATGTAGTGGCTTCTCCCTTCAGTGACTCATGGCTTGGAAAATTTGCTCTGGAAAATCACCACCTCCCCACTCAGGCTTGGCTGTGGTGTTGCAAGCTCCATTTCCAAACAAGAATTACAGTGTCATTAGATGAATGAATGATCACTTTGACTCAAATTCCACCTCTTCTCACTCCTTCCCCTTCTTTATTTTTTAGCCTTTGCCATTTCACAGTGCCAATAACGGCAAATCTCCTCAATTATCATTGCATCAGTCTCCAGTTTTTGAATCTAGAATGTAATTTATTTATCAAGTACTGATTATTTCTTTTGGTTTAGTATAATTTCAAACGGAGCAGTTTATCTTGGTCAGCTGGGGCACTATGTTATGTCCAGTCAAGTCTCAACACTCACAGAAGAAATACAACTAAGTTTCAAATCATGCCAGACCTAGTCCTGAGAGCAGAATTTCTTAGCATCAGGCCTAGGAGCTGTTCTGTTTCCCACCCAAAAGAAGTAGAGTATTGCCCATCTCCAAAAGTATTCATGAGCAGAATTTCTGCATGCCTGTGGGCCAGATTGCAGCTGATGCAAATCACTGGTTGTGGTGTCTTCTGATGATTTATCCCAGGAATGGGATCCTGGCTTTGCCTATCAATATAAGGGCAAGAATCTGCCATACTCATTCATCTTGACGCTCTAGTATAGCTCAGCACATAAGCCTTTGCCATACAACCAGACCTGGAAGAGATGCAAAACCATCATATGGGCTTCACCCTCGAGAGGACATGAAGGACCTTGCACTGCCCTCCATCATCATTGTTGCCTGAGACACGTCTCTGGAGCACCACCCTTTGATGTGTCCTGTGGTGCCTGCGGCTAGCGTGGAGATCAGCAGGGTACCAGATAATGTCTGGAAGGAGTTAGCAAGGAGAAGGCCCCCCGGCTTCAAGTGAGAAGGTGGCCTTTTGCAGGACTGCATAGCCCAGTCTCCCGCTCCCACAGGGCCAGCTGTAGCACCTCTTCTGGAGCCCAGAGACACTTCAGCAGCTGGAGCGGGCATGGTAGGTGCCACAGAAGGAGACACACTGGGCATCACTCCACCGGGAAGTAGCAGTGCAGTCCAGGATCCTTTCCAGCACCTGGCCAGCCCTTACAGTAACTCATCTGGCCTTACAGAAAACTCAGCTGGCTGCAGGGTCCCCATCGCTGCCTGCAGCTTCTCTGTGACACTTCCACTCTCGGCATTATTGGAGCGACACGTTGCTGTCATCCCTCTGCCAGGAGCCCCTTTTTTTGGCACCTCCCATCAGTCTGACATTTTGCCACGTGCTGCGTCTTCTTCGTTCACATTCTGCTTTTGGCAAAGGCCTGCTGGAAGCAGTGTGTGGGCTGAGCTGGGAGTGCCAGCGCCAGGGACCTGCTGAGCTGGATCTCACTCTTGCGCTATTGCTGGGGGGCCAGCCAGCAGCATCACAGCTGAGAGCACAACTGTGCCAGAGCCCACAGGCCAACAGGACCTGGACACCAGGGCTGAAAAGGGCTGGCAGGAGTAAACTGGCCTTCAGCTGGGCAGGGCCATCCCCTCACCTTGGTCCCCATAGCTGGCATTTTTCATATTTCATATTCTCAGATTTTTCCAGGTACTGAGTGGGTGTGAAATGGCATAGACCCTATGAGCTCTGTTGATTTGTAGCACGCGAAGGCTTGGGCTTTTTGATGGTATGCCCAGCTAGAGACTCCCTCCAAATCCATCTCTGGGCTGTACCCTCTGCCTAGTCTTAACTCTACATCTCCTCTGTCCTGCTTTCCCTAACAACCTGGCTGCAGTTGCTCCTGGGACAGTGGCAGGAGTGTGGCAAGCTTGTGGCAGGATAAAGCACTTCTTCCCAGGGGTGTCTCACAGCCCACGCTGCACTCAGGGACAGCATGACCCAAGTCAGCTACAGTACAGCAGGGGCTATGACAGCAGGAAGTTAATAGAGATGTCACTCAGCACAGATGCAGAATCCAGCTGCACGGCAGGAAGAAATACCAAGCCATAACCCTGGCTGGGCTGCAGGCTGGAGCACTAGGAAAACACCTGAGACCAGGCAGAGCAACAACAACGGGGGATGTAATAAGACCTGCCTTTTCTTCCACTCCTTTGAACATGCAGACTTTTAGCGAGTGAGCCAAGCTTTGCCGGGTTGCAATGGTGCAAACACCAGCCCTCCACTGCAGCTCTTGCCATGAAAGGCAGCCGTAAAGGAAGACCACAAAACCTCTCCAGATTGGTTCTGGCATATGTCCAGGTCCAGTTCACTGCTGTCTTCCCAGATCACGCTCTCTGATACTGCTAAATCTTATTCCCCTCCTGTTGCAGGAGGGTTGTGCTGCAGACCCTACCAGACACAAATCCCTGCACAGCACTGAAGATCCAGTGATAGAGGAAAGTATCCTGCTCTCTCCCCATCACACTCTGCACATCTTGTGCGGTCAGTGGGAAGGCATGACATGGACATCGGCAAAGAGGCTATATTGCAGTCAAGTCAGCTTTGGCTTAATGAACCATGACTGTTTAGATAGTTCAGACAAAGCAGTGACTTGGAAGTAGGCAGGCTGATGAGAAGCAGTCTGTGAGAAGCATGGTCTGGTTAGGGCATAGTGTCTAAACCTTTTTGCCTTCTCTGAATAATGGCAACAACACAAAACCCCATCAGTGCAATGGGATGGCAACGAGCTAGGGGATGACCATTTGCTCAGTGTCTGACTTAACTGGCTGGGTAAGCCTGTGCTAACCTGGGAGGAAAAGAGTTGGTTAGCTGTGTCATTGAAACAGCAAAGCGAGTCAATGCAGTCAGCCCAGCACAGCCGGGACGTTCAGTTACCCGGCAGAGCGCTGGCTCCAGAGGCTGTTGCGGTAGGTCAGAGCTTACCTATTTGAGGTGCAGGGTACCCGTAGTGCTGCAGTTCGTCAGTGTCCTCTCGCTTTCTGTTATCTGTGGACCTCAGCGATTGGCTTCTGGAATTATAGCGTCCATTGGCTATGGCAAGGTAATGGGTCATGTAAATACACCTTGGTTCACTCTGCAAGATCTTTCACTACAAAGGTTACATTTGAATAAACAACAGCAACCTGCCACGTTTGGTTCACACGACCACCTGCCTTCCAACCCGGCACCCCTGACCACCAGCCTTCCCTGGGGTTTTAGCACCGAGCCACCCTGTGGGACTTGGTCTGGCTGGTGTTCAACTGCTGGATTTAGTGAGGCATGTGACCATGCAGAATCAGATCCCTGTGCTTGGTTTAATCAGATATAATGAATTTCCAGGGTGTCCATACTCTTTGCTAGGAAGCCTCCAGTGAGATCAGGCAGCCTTAGGGATTTGTGGAGGGTTTAGCCTTTTCAGGTGTGCTGACAATGAATCCCACCATCTCTGGCACTGTTTTGAAACCCATGGTGAAGAATGGCGCTGTTTTTTTTGGTGCAAAACTCTGCCTTGCAAAGTATATCTGCATAGCAATGCTCTGTAGAACATCCACAAAATGCTGAGTGAAGCAGGCAGGTGAGGGGAGATTGGAAAAGGAAACGGATGGCTGAGAAGTTGTCTCTCTCCCAGACCCTACCCTACCACCAGCAAAGAGAAGAGATGAAGGTTTGGTATCAGCAAAGTGACTGCTGGACCAACAGAGCTAAGATTGAGCACCTTTGCAACTCAGGTGAGAGAGCAAAACTCCTGATTGTAGTATCCGGCAATCAGTGAAACTCTCTAGCTGAAGACTATGGTATCAAGACCACTGTAAAGTGAGAGCATTTAACTCCCAATGGACAGCAGGCATCCTTGTTCCTTCCAAACCGGTAGTAAACAGATAAGCAACCAAGCATTAGCAACCGAATCCCACTCACAAGGACTGTTTCTGCACATCAGGAGAGCACAGCTGACTCTGATTATCAGAGTCCTGCAGCATGGCAGAGAGTAGAGCTGAGCTCTAGTAATCTGCGATCTGGCAGCTGGTTTGTTTCCAAACAGCAGGTACTAGAAAGAGGGTCTTTTCCCCCAAGGAGGTAAAGCAGTCAGACATCTTTTCAAGATGTACAGACTGCAAAGAGATGAAATGGTGACAAATTTGATCTTGGAACCTGGGAAAATTAATGAAGGTTAATGAAGCTTCAATGTGGTGGCGGGAGTCTTTATTGCCATCCAAAAAGGGAAAGCAGAGGAGGGAGAGGAATGATTCAGAGAGTCCCTGCCGGGAGCCAGACTTTACATTCAGCAGCTTGGTTCGAGGAAGAGGCCCATCTAGGTGGTGAAACTGTGAAGCAAATTCCCCATAACTTTAGCCCCAAAGCAGAGCCTAGGAACTGGTCATGCTGGTGGCTCCAAACCTTTCCAGCACAGACTGGTTGCAGGCTGCCGCCAGAAGGAGAGGAGATGGGACAGTCCTTACCACCAACCTTACCATCTGTCTGGGCATCAGGACTACAAACATCCTGATACTTGCATACAGATATGTTTCCCCCCCCCCCCCCCCCTTTTTTTTTTTCAGGTTCTTTACTAAAATTGAAAGTGCCAGATCTTAAGTTTTTAATACCTGCAAAGCCTTGGGAACTTCCTATGTAAGATTTAGTTTATAAAAAAGCCGACCTCCAAGTGTCTGTCTAACATCCTGTGTACAGAGTTTGCTTAGGGGACAGCTTAAATTAGATCCACACTCTCTGAGGTACCAGACACATCTCAAACTCTGATCTATTCCCACCAGCCCTCTACCCATTGCAGAAAATATCCTGTATTTTGATCTACTCTGATTTCGGACCTTTTGTTAAAAGGAACAAACCCCTGAAAACCCACAAAAAATATCCGGCTGCTGTAAACCCTAATGGCTTCCCAGAGACTCGTGTTATCTGGGCGGAGAAATGAGGCAGGCAGAAAGGTGCAGATGTGATGTTTGAATGGATTTGTTGGCTGCTCAGAGCAAGGAAGGTGATAGGAAAACCTGAGACTGAATATCTCAGCAGTAGCTGGTGAGCATCTATGGGTGGATGGATGGACAGAGATGCAGGAGGCAGGACAGAAGGAAGGAGAGAAGAAAGAAAAGATAAAGGATCAAAGTAAAAATTTTAAATGCAGGCAGTTTTCCCTCATGTCCAATTTTTCTGGAAGCACTTAAAGATGTTTTCCTGGTCTGAGGGACTGCCACTCTCGAGCACTTCCCAATTACCCAGGAGCTTTGCAAGTGAAAGCTACCGTTAAAAGGTGAAAGCAGCATTTAACTGCCTGCTGGAGGAGTTTCCAAAGAAACTTGGTTCTCGTGGAGACATGTTAGTGACCTGCAGAAACAGCTCCCACGGCACGTCTGTTCTGCACCTGCATGGGAGAGAAGTGGGTGCTGCCGCTGGAGCAGGGAGTATAGCCAGGGTGGGTTAGCACCCACAGTGGCACTCTACAGGCTTTCCCTCTGTCACAGTTGGTTTGCTCCTCATGAAGGAGCGTTTCTGCACTGCTCAACGGCATTGCCCAGCCAGTGCTACGAGGCGAATTCCCCAACATGGCCCCTTGTGCCACCTCAATGATACCACCCTGGCTCTCCACTAGTTGGACTCGGTGTCTGCTAAAGGGTGATCCTGCATGATTTCCTTCAGTCCCCGGCGGATGCGACAGGCCTGCACTGTTATTGCTTGTCCTAATTAATTAAAGGCGATCAGGTCTAGCATCTGAATGCCTCACCCTGTCGGCTTGCCTCGTGCCTTCCCCAGAAGGGACTGGCTGCAGGCCCATGCCGGTGTTGCTCTGCTGCAGTAGGCAAGGTTTCCAATCCTTGGAAAAGGCGTTGCAGAGAAGCAGGTCAGGCCCCATTTAGCACAGAGCCTGGTGCAGATTTAACTTGAATAGTTAATAAGAATAAATATGTGAAAATCAGCCCTGACTAAATGAAGCAGGGAGAGGCCTCATCCTTTATGCACGAGGTGAAATCAGTGCAAACAAAGCTCTGAGGTGGGTTTATGCACCAGGACTTTATGGCATGGGTGCTTCATGATGAAGGCAGTAGGGAAATGACTGGATATCAGCAGCTTGCTTCCCATGGTGGGATCAGTGGAGAGGAGCAATGCCAGGATCAACAGAAGACCTAGGTGTAATTTGCAACCCAGCCATATAAATGACCTGGGATGGCATTGGGGGGAAATACTCAGCACCTCGGAGAAGCTAGCAGGAGAGCTAGAGAAATAATGCTTCTGGAGGGTACCCAGAGAAGTTTCAATCACAAGCAGGAGGCAAGCAATTGAGATTTTAGAAAAACTGTAGCTAAGACAAAGATGGGAAGGATAATCATGCAGTGCTGATATAATTGGGAAGAGGAAGCCGGTGACCAACACTTCTGATGAGAGCATGTAACTCATCAGACAGCGCTTTGCAGCACAGCCAGGGGGAAAACATCTAATGCGGAGACTTTGCAGTGTTGTGGGCTAAGTCTCTAATGTTCAAACACAAGCGTGTCTCCCAAAGCCACGCCCTCTTCCTTCCATATTCATGCCCTAAACAGAAGGGACAAAGAAAACAGCAATCTGAGGCAGATCATGAAAAGTATTCAAGGGAACTTGAAGGGTAAGAAAGGATGGAGCAGAGCAAAAAGTGGAAAGAAAAAAGGGAGGGAAAAAAGAAATGGAGTAAGTGTATCTCAGTGCAGTAAAACCAAAGGAGAAGCTGTGCGCTATGGAGTTATTGAGGCATCTAGCAACTGCTAATTATATAAAACTGAGAAGGGCAGAATCATTAACACCTCCTGAAAACCATGTATTCAGGACCTGCTCCACAGCCTGTGTAGAAGGGGTCATCCTAGAAGCAACTGGATACATGGCAATTGCACCAGCTGAGGAAATGGCCCAAAGTCTTTCACAGTTTGAACATCGGAGGCTTCCGAAAATATCAGTGAGACCCAGGACTCCCAGGTATGAAAGGTCTAAAGTAGCATTAGAAGGGGGAACACAGTGAAATCATTCCAAGCAGCAGCAGACAGTTACATGTAGGATAAGACGCTGTTCCAGCTTGCAATGATTTCTAGCCTTGCCTGCAGGGAATGAAGATGCTCCCATACGCAGACACACGCACACCCCGGATATTTCAGCTCTATTAGTGGTTGCAGCAAAAGGGCTATTTTTAATGCAGTTCATAAGCAGCAGAAAACAACACTGAGATGCAGCCTTTTGAATGCCATGTGGAACGTGCGTTTCTTCACACTACTAATGTTTATTCAGCTGAAGGGCCAGGTCCTGATCTCACTTCCCACGCTAGAAATCCAGCAGGATCAATGGGACTGCACTGGTTTCACACTGCTGTACCTCAGGGCAGGATGTGGCCATCCGCCTCCCAGATGAGGGGAGATGTATTTGCCAGTCTGCATATTCATAAATGTCAGAGATGGGTTTGCGTTGCCTTTGCCAGATGGGATGGCAGGATTTCAGCTGGCTCCTCTGCTGATTTCATTCCCCAGGAATAAATGCAGGCCGCCTACATCTCTGATTGTTCTTGTATTTCTTCAGCAGTGCTGAATTGCAGCACTGGGGTCAGACCCATGACATCCTCCCTCTGACTTGGACATTGTCCTGCCGTGTTACCCATCCAGCTTCCCCTTCAGGGCCTTCGATGTGCCAGTTTGTCAGTAATGACAGCTTTTAGCACCACACGGTTGAGCGGGGCCTCTGGAGCCCTGTGATTTCCCCTTCGATCCAAAGGGGGTGGGCCCAAATAGTTGCTTTGCAAGCCCTTTCCATCATGCTCCGGTTGACTTTTTTTTTTTTTTCCTTTTTTCCCCCCTTTATAAAACAGCAGCTTCTGGCCAAATCCAACAGATGGAGGAGGAAATCTCCCCTGTCTGTACTGGAGAGGAAGATATCACCGGGTTCTCCGCCTCTAGCAAGGAATAATCAGCATTATAGAAAACACTGAATGTTGTCCTTCAGATTAGCTCTCTTGAGCTGAATGGCAGCTATGAAAAAGGACCCTGCTCAAGTAGGGCTGTTGTTCCCAGGCAAAGTTTCATTCCTGGTTTGGGATGAACCTTCATTCCAGAATTCCTTTAGTGTTTTAAGGCTTCAGGTTTTTCCCATGGAAATAATTTGCCTGGCTCGGAAGTGCTTGGGCTTGGGTGGGCACCCCTGGGGAAATTTAGTCAAGAGACACAGAGGATGGTCAGCAAGCAAGAGACTGTTACACAGTGGGAAAGCCAACTTCTCAGAAAACCCAAAAGCAGCTGGCACCTGCACAGTCATTCAGCTGTCCCTGTGCACTGATTTCAAACAGCCCTATGGTCTCTGGCCAGCACGTTCAGACTCAGGCTTGGGAATCACGTGGCTACATGTATACTTCCGTGATCACGCTGCAAGTAGTCACATCTCCTGGAAAGGCCAAAACCCACCATGCCCACTGCTAAGTATCAGGACATGCTAAAGGTCCACCTGGAGCAGCTCTGGAAGAGGAAGGATGGCAGCAGGCGAACAAGAAAGGTTAGATCCCTCTAGCATCATTTTCCATGGCCAGGCCAAATAAAACAACTAAATGAAATTTTCACGTTTTCTCCTCAAGCATCCATCTGAGTAGCTCCGGGGAGCTGAGTGGGAGCATCCCAGTTTGTCGCCACTGACAACCTGTCCCTGTGTGAGACTATACCCTCTCCCTGTCTTAGGAGATCTGAATAAAGAGATAAAACACCCTGGCTAATCAGCCATCAGTCTGAGACACTCATGCAGAAGCTAGCAATGAGAAGCTAAACTAAAGAGATGGCTTTGCCCTTGTTTTGAAGGTGGCGGTGGTGATTTCTGTGTTATTCTAGCCTAACTTGCTTGGCCAGCAACTCAGACGTCAAGCTGTGCATGGGCAAGTAACTGCTCACATCTTCCCTCAAATGCTTTCCAGCTTGCCAGCACTAAAGCATCATAGTGGGCCTCAGGGTCTAAAGAGGCGCTTGAGAAAATTAATCAGAATTAGCTTATTTTATGAATTTTGAAGGGATAAATCAATTTGTGCTGCCCCACTCTGTGGATGTACTCTCTTTCCAAACTAAGGTCTTCCAATTAGGTCAGGCGAACTACCCCCACGTCAATTTGTAGCAGGAGTTGTCTGCGTAATAGAAGGAAGATGGGAGCATTAGTGAAACTGTTTATTGAATCACAGCCTCTGGGGCACACCTAGACTTTTCTGCACTTAGGATCAGCTTTTCTGAGTGTTGCACTCCAGAAAAGACAAGTAAGTAAATAGTAATTTGTTCTTCACTGCTCTGCTCTGTGCAATGAACAGAGCTGGAAGCACAATGGACATTTCCAGCCTCCCTAGCTAAACATAGTCCATCCTCACCTATCCTTGCAATAGAAACCTCAGGACAGCTGGAATGAAGACATGCATGGTTTTTCTCTGAGGGAGAATAACCCCAGGGGTCAGAGAAGGCTGGGTGGCAGCCCCGCTGAAGAGGAGCTGGGTGATGAAGAGGATGCCAGACTGAATACAGCCCAGGAGGGCACTCTCACTGCAAACCAAGCAAGCTGTGTACCGGGACCTGTTCAGAGGAGCATAACCAGCAGATCAAGGGAAGGTATTGTGCCTCTTGCTTGGTGCTGGTAGGGCTGTACCTGAAAAACTATGCCCAGCCTGGGGCACTCTAGCTCAAGAGGGATGTGAAGGAATTGAAGCAGGTCCCATGGAGAGCTATGAAGATGGTCAAGCCCTGGGACAGATGTTCTGGAAAAAGAGGCTGGAGTTTGCTGTCCCCTCCACCTCATTTGTCCAACACGGGAGGGAGTGGGGAACTCTAAGGAGATTTTTTTGGCTGTTGTCCCATGTACTCCTATGTCCTAAGAACAGCCCCACAGCCCCCTCTGCTCCCCACCAGTGCCGTCTCCCCTTTCTTCTCTCTGCAGAGCACATCCACAGAAATGCCCATAAAGACTAGCATGGCCCTTCCTCTAGGAACCAGCTCTATTCAGGTGCCTTCATGTCCTACAACTGGACCCTTCTTTTGGATCAAGAGACTTCCATGTCCCTTCCCATACATGGATGCACTCTTACACTCATGGCCTCAAGCCATAGCTGCATTGAGACTCCAAAGTTACAAGCAAGCGTGGGAGATACCAGTTAAATTTCCCTAGTGTGGGCGAAACACAGAAGGAAATTAGCAACTGTGAGTCAAGAAGATGAAATTCAATATACTAGAAAGTCTAATTAAAAAAAAAAGCCTAATTGCAACAAGATTTAGATTTATGGAAGTGATAAAACAATACATGAAATCATTTTAGCCTTTATTAGAGGAATTCATTTACGTCCCTCTGTTTGAACATCCCCTTTATCAGGAGACACTTCCCTGCCTTTGAAGATGGTTGAACTTTCCTCAGTTATTTGCCTAGTTGGAGGAATTATTCAAACATCCTTCATTGCAAATTTGAAGTAAAAAGAAGAGCATAATTAAAATCAGCTCTTCGCCTGTGTTTGCTGGGCTGGGATTCTTCTGCTCTTGTTTTTCTCCACCCCCCTTTCTACTTGGCTACTGTGAAAGAAGCATTGGAAATGAAAGTGCTGCAGGTCACAAGCTTGAGGCATCAATATCTCCCTGATGACTGGCATTGACAATCTGTCCCCTGCCCTCTGGAGAAGAGGACCTGGAAAGAGGCTGCATTTCAGGAGGAGAGCAAAGCCTCTGCCGAAGACTTTGCCTCTCTGAGGCCCTGTGTTTTGTCCAGAGCTGTCTAACATCCAGATCTGGCTCCACATCTTAGTGCCGTAGGCTGCAGTTTTGTAAAGGAAGGGGAAGCAAAATTGCGCTTGACTAGGAAGGTGAACTAAGCCAGAAAGACATAAACAGCAAGATTAGCATCTCTCCTAGCTGCATGCTTTATTTATCAGGAAGAGGCTTGAGAGGCCAACAGTTAAAGAAATGCCTTTAGGGCATATATTTTGCCATCGGTGATAGGTTTTGCAGCAGAGTTTGAATGCCTGATGTAGGCATTGCTGTAAATTAACCCCTTCTCTGGGGTAAAGCTCTGAATCTATGTACGTGGGTGTTGCAACATCTGTGTCAGCACGTGTGTGTGTGACCACAAGACAGGCAGGGACGGGCAGGGCCATGCACAACCAGCGTCGCGTGCTCCCCAGGGCTCACGGCTGCAGGCTGCCCCTCAGACACGGCCGTTCAGCAGCTTAGCGGTGCCTCTGAAGCACCCTTCGTTATTTATGGTGCCAGGGCTGCAACGGCCATGGGTGCAGAGGTGGGCTCTGCCTGAGGTAAAACCGCTCACGCACGTGCAAAGGAACATGCCTCCACTTACTATTGCACGCTTTCCTATTGCACAGTCTTCCTTCCTCCAGGACTCCCTCGCAGGCAAGGCCTTCTTTGGGAAGGGGCTTGCAGGTGCGCATGCGGGTCTGCAGGCCTCCCCCGCAATCCTTGGTGCAGTCGCCCCAAGCCGACCAAGGTTTCCAGCCACCTGAGCAAAATCCAGAAAAGCCCCATCAGCTGCAGCATCGCAGGAGAGGAGAATGCCTCGCACACAAGAGGCAGGGGCAATGTCAGTCCTATGGACGCTGTGATGCCCCCGCTGCCATGCCCCAAAATTGGGATATCTTTGAATGTGGTAGGGCAAAGCATCACAGGTGAGCCCAGAGAGTCAAGGGACGGGAGGGGAAAGGAGAAGCATTGCCTTTTTATTGACTTCTCCTCAACTATTCCCAATCTCTAGCAGGGACTCTGCCTTCCTGAAAACCCTGCCCCGTTACTAACTCATCCAGGTCTTGCTCTGCTTTCTACAGGGAGAAAGCAGGGAGCTTCCCTCCTCAGAGGAGACACCGTCTCCGTTTTTTGGGCTGTTGGTCCCTAACCCCAGAAGACACTTGCAGAAACCATTTCAAGAAAAGACACACATTCAGAAGCAGTGAGGTTCTCTCTCCTTCCTCCCCACCAGGTAATCGCATGTGCCCATTTGCCCAGGGGAGCTGGGAAGGGATTGGGATCTTACCATCCACTCCCTTCTTGACCCTAAAATGGCCTTCCTTTTCCCCGTATTGCACATACTCCAACGCCAGCAGCCACGGAGAGTCACTGCTCCCTCAGACCGCTTTGGTGAAGGAAGGAGACAATATCCCCCTCAAGCACCCACAATGCTCTAATCTGGGAGCAACATGTTCATAAGCAGCTTTCTGGCTCCTCTTCCCGGATATGCTCAGTGCCAGTGTCAGCTACACGCAGCTTTGCCCCTCGTACCACTGGCTATGGCACTGCAAGCTGGTGGAGCCAGCGATCTCCTTGCTCCTGGGATTGTCCTATCACTTGCAGAAGGGAAATGCTGAGTCTCAGCGACCTTCACCACCTGTCTCCCTGCCAGGCTGCTGCCAAGAACCACTGGCCCCTGTGGCACATCCATAAAAGTCAAAGGCAGAATTGACTGATAAGATGGTCTGAACCTGACCTGCCTAACATGGGCCAAAGCCTTGCAGCAGGACACCTACAGGTTAGATTTTGTGTTTTAAAAAGACTGCAGCGGATCATCAAGGCCCTTCAAGTGATGGATAATCTGTCACATCCCTCATTGATCAGTTCACTCGTCTTCTGCCATATTCAGCAAGACAAAACCTGCTGTATCAAACACCCCTGCCTCTAACAGCTGGTGACCACTTCTACTGCATCGTTGTCCACCACAAGAAAAGGAGCAGGGGTGGCCCTTCCTCTCAGAGGCAGCTGCTCTCAGATGGCTGCCTTACCTGCTCTTCCTTCTCCAGTTACCCAAAGCTACCCTTGAATATGCTTCAGCTCCAAGAATTGTAGCACCATGCCATGGTCAGACACAAATAATGAGCTAAAGATACAGTTTTTTTGAAAAGAGGGAACATTGGGAGAAAGATACATGCTACTTTTAAAAATAAAATAAAATAAAAGCGTCTTCATTTTCTAGCCCAGAGCCAGAGGTATCAGAGGTGCAAATGCCTCCATTTCAGCTAGCCTAGCCTCCCTTTATTGCTATTTATGGAGCAGTGGAGACAACAGCTCCCCTCTGAGCTGCGGTACCCTCTGCTCTCTGCACGCCTTTGACGGGAGACCAGTGTATCTGCGGGACAAAAAGGAGAATCCTCAATAGCCCAGCTAGGCACTAGGCCAGAACACAAGCGTTTGCCAGGACCCTCTTGCACAAGTGCGGGCAGAGCGGTGGACTCATTCGGTACCCCAGAATAAGGCCATGAGGGCCCAAGTACTGATTCATTCCCTCAGTCCTGAAGTGTGAGATAACTCCCCTTCCCAATTGTCTGTGCTTTGGGCACCCCTTGGGGAAGGGCTCACTTGGTCTCTTGATCTGGCAGACCTCAGTGATGGTCAGAACAGGTTTTCTTTCTCCCAATTTCACATATTCGGTACTTTCACCCTTGCCCTGTACAATGACATCCTTCTGCACCCTTTTATACTCTTCTCAAGCCTGTGCAGGGACTGATGTGTTCCTCATAAACCGTTACTCACACAAGGGTGAGTATGTGAGTGAGGATATTTCATCGTCCTCATCTTTGCATCATAAGATGTTGCTCCCACTTCTCCAATCATAGCATCACATGTGCTCCCACTGCATCCACAGTACACGCAGACCAAGCCCTCTGGAGCGGGCTCACTCCGCAGTTTCAATGAACTCCGTATTGTGCTAGTCCTACAGAGAAGAGTGAATTGTCCTCATCAGACCCTTACATCTCCACTTTGACTTTTACAGTGAATTGTTTCATTTTGTGGTTAACTCTGCAGCTCCGTGGAGTCCAGGACCATCTTTTCACTGACCTGGGTGGATTTTACAAGACTTCCTCCGGCCACATGCAGACAAGGACCGTGCATTATTGCCAGCCTAGCTGTGCTCCCGGCTTTCACTCTCAAGACAGAGAAGGAGTGAGAATAAACATTTACTCAGTTTCAGGCATGCTACTGAATGCAGTGGAAGGCGCTTAGATACTTGATAATGAAAATAACATGGGAAACAAGAGAGATCGAGGTAGAAACATGGGTTGGCAAACATACCAGCAAGGTGGTCTGAGATTCTAGCAGTGACGGGAGGGATGGGACTGTTTTTGGCACAGAATAAATGTTTGACCTTGAAGGGCAATGTCTTTCCCTTGAAAGTCACTTTATCCGCTGGTTCCTTTTCTAAATGGTAGGCAGAAACACTTAGGCTTGTCTCTCCTGTCTCCTGATGGGAAATGGGTTGCGTTTCAGTCGCAAGAAAGGCCATTGGCACAAGGGCAGGTATCCTGATGCCTTACTTGAGCTGATCAATAGGATATCTGTAACCAGATACATTTAAAAGCTAATAAATTCTTTGTGCTTTTACCGATGACTCTCTTTACTTCCTCTCTCTCAGTCCCTTGCTGATTAGGAGTGAGGGTGGGGAATGGAGCAGGTAGGTCTGCATAAACTACAGCTTGATTTGTGACTTATATGTCTGGGATTTTCTTTTTTTCAGTCTTATAACAAAAAGCACAGTTGCTCCAGTGCATTAAAAAGTAATGTTATATAGTATTGTTAAGTAAAATACAAACTAGTTATTCAAACTGATAGCCTATCATGCGGTCCTCAGTTTAAGGATGGTTATTCAAATAGGTTTGCATTTCATGATGTAATCTCTTATGATAACACTACAACCGTAAGAATATACAGAAAGAAAGGCTGAGCTCAATGTTCCCGCTTACTCTAATTAATTAACAGACACTCCCCAGCGTCACCCCAGGAACTGATGGCGGGATAGTATAGGTTCCAGTCTTTGACTTCTCCATACTCTGTTCTTCACGAGCTATGGGAGAAACAGTCAATATGAGATAAAAAAACACATGATCTCAGACCCTTAACCAGAGCCAGACCTCTTTATGAGGTTGAGGACAGATAACTTCCTTCCTCTCCTTACTCCTCAGCTTCCATCCCATTTGTGAGTGCTAAAGAGAAGCTAGAGTAGAAGTACCAGAACACTTATTAAATCAACACAGGCATTTACAGCCAAGACAAAGGAATTCCCCATTTTATGGCATAGTCCTTTTTTATTATCAGGTTGTCTCATGGTCCTGAAAAATGACATATTGCATGTTATTTATCCTCTTTATTGACCTTCAGATAAACCTTTTGAAATTTCTCATCTTTTCCTGGGTCTAGTCATTTGCTGTTTCAAATGATTTGTCTTTTTTAGTGGTGCTGTAAACAATTGTTTAAAGGCCTATTATATAAAGTTATACCCATCCCACCTATGAAAAGGGGAAAAAAAAGACTGTGCTGTGAGTTAAACACTCAGCTTTTCTTCCCATTCCGCAGAAGCATCTGGCTGCTGGAAGGGTATAGCCAGATAACTGCAAATGAAAGAGCTGACACGGCTGTGGAGCAGCTGAGCTGTGCTATCGGGCCACACAAATGCCTTTAGCCCACTGCAGATGCCACAGAAGAGACACGGGTGGGATTTTGTCACTGCAGTGGCTGGATGTGTGCCCCATCGCTCAGCTCAGCTGTGGTGACTAACAGGGCTGCAGCCAGGTGGACGCAGCCTCATGACTCCACGTTTTCCAGGAAACGTGCATCCCCACCGGGCTGCTCCACAACTCCACCGCTCTGCCTCTTCTCACTGTTCATTTCAAACATGTGCTTGGAAGAGATCCCTGATGCTGGGAAGCAAATTACAAAGGTGAAATGCAATGCAGAATCTCCCTGAAATCAATGGGACCCTTTGCAGATAGTCACCTTTGCCCCTTTCATCAGCTCTCAACCAACTGCTGTGCCCTACTGGTCGATGAAGGTTGAGTTGTCATCTATTCTTAATCCAGGCATAATGAGTCTCCTGCAACCGTTTTATGAAGGATTTTGCTTTCCAAAGGCAAAGGTCACGTACCTCACCTATTCCCACTTAGAAAATTTTTGCTCAGCTGCAGCCTTACAGGTCTATGGACCTCTCTGCTCTTTACTTCCTTTAACTTGAGTAGCTGTGGCTCGAGTTTCCGGCTCTGCAGGTTCCCATCACAACCGGTAGTTATCACCTCAATCACGTTGCAGGTTTTGACTTTTATTTTTAAGAGCAGTCCTAGCCCCTTGCATGAGTTTTGTGAAGCCAACTATTGCAAGTGAAGCTGCTGCTCGTGGGACTTTTCTCAGTGCTGTGGAGGCTATCATTCACGGAGGCCTTTAATCCAGTTTCTAAAGAGCTTTTTGATCTTCCTCAGTCGGTTCTTATCATGATCACACACTAAAACAAATTACTTTTCGTGCTCGGCTGCCCCAATGCATTATAATTCTACACAATTAAATGGAGAAAGTTTCAAGATGATCAGACTCAATTTTCAAGCTCAGATTTGGCATTTCTTGTTCAGAATCAATCTTAAACGGAGATGCCAAAACAAGAGGTCTTTCCTACTGCAAATTAACGGAGAGAGTTCGACTTAAGATCCTCGTCCAAACACCCTTGATCTTTGGGAAGATTTGCATCCTGAT